CATTTTGGTTTGCGAGCAAAAATGATATGCACATGGAAGAATTAACACTAAATCCTTAGGGGATTTCAGCATTATGAGAAACTCCATATCCTTGACAAAGACGATGTTTGTTCCCCTCCTCTCAGGCAGGAAGCCGAGGAGCATCAGCTGCTGAAGCAAAAGACTGAGAAATGGTTTCTTCACAGCTGAATTGTAGTGGAGCACTGCAGCGTTCCACATTATTTCCTGGGTCATGTACACATTAGACATTCACATATCTGCTAGATCGGCAAAACACTTGGACCCACTGCACTTCTATTGTACGGATTGGTTGGGCGTGCTAGACTCTCCTAATATATTTCTGCCTGTCTTTGTTTTTTTTGTTTTTTTTATTTCTTTACTTATTAGTTGTTTCCCAGTCCCAAAATACTCATAAAATGCTCCATTACCTTGCTTAATGCAATTTAAATGTGTAGTATTTTCCAGTTACACATTAAAATAAACGACTGCGAATCTGATGGATTGATTTAGTCGACTCCTTTACTATAGGAGATCAGGACCACCAATCAAACAAAATACCTACAGTACGTGCCACCTGAGGCTTATAAATACTTATCAAAATCTCATACACACCCAGTACACAATAAGTATATTAACTACCTCAAATCACTGATTATCAAAATGGATATAAAACAACCCAACAGTGCACCCATCCAATACACTCAGGACAAAACATCCAGAGATTAGTAGTACATTTTTTTGGAATATGTAGTGATCAAAACTGTAAAAGGTTAGAAATAAAAGGTTAAATGACTAGTACCCCATTTACTATGGATTGTTTTGATGTTCACTCATTGGCACCAGTGTCACATTGGTCAGCCTTTCATTTCATGCCACATTTATTTTGACAAACTCAAGTAGCAGCACCCAAAGTTGGTGCCTGATCGTCCTAAAATTCTTAAAACGCAAGAAATCTTATCATTAGCCATGCTTAGTTGATAAAACATTTCAATTATGTTCTTTAAACCTCTCTTACTTCCCCCGAGCATTGACCATGGCACAGCACTTTTGCTTCCAGTGAGTAATAATTGTATTTATTTTCAAATAAAATTACGAGTGATACATCTCATAATCCACTTGCGTGAAATCTCTGAATTAATTGCCGTAAGATATTTCTCCCGTCGGAAAATTGCTCACATCAACATCTGTCAAACACCGTCCATTACAAGTCTCCTGGGGAGGAAACACTTCAGTAAATGTATTGATGACAGCTCTACAAGCTGGCCAATCAATATCAATAACTCAACAATTACTTTATCAGCCACCGAGATTGGTGACTTTGAAAATTTATTTCACCGCGACGAGATTCCTGTTTTCATGCGGAAGAGTCTCCGTGTGCTCTTAATGTTCAGCTTTTACATATTCCACAAGGAATTAACGGCGTCCAAAACAGTAGCCATCATTTCTTTGATACCGTCACTAATCCTTAACGCGAATTAGAAAGTTATTCACAGAGAGAATAAACAGTAACCTTGGTCAGAAATAACCCAGCAGGAATGCTTTTGTAAAATTTTCCGGTTATTAACATTAAGTGGTTAAGCCTCGCAAAGAGTCAGGCGCTGAGCAGACCACCTGATTACATAGGCCTAATTTACAGAGCCCTAAAGAGCTTATAGCTAAAACTAGTCAACACTAATAATCTCAGTATTCAACAGCAGTCTCAAAATAGAGGTTTGAAGGCAACGTAAAGCGCTTTCCACTTGGGTGGTAGAGTAGAGACCGGCTATAGGAGGCTCTGCTGTTGAGTCCCTCTGCCTCTCTGGGTGTTGACGAGACACCGGGCAGACACCGAACTCTGGGTTTCTCACAATGTGTTCATCAACGTACGAAAGAAAGGAGGGAAAAAGATAAATAAATAAAAAATCCCGGCACAAACCAGAAAGGAGCACTGTGGGAAGGAACGTGTGAAAGAATGAATGAAAATCATGCAGAGAAGCACTTTGTAGAACCCAGCTACTGCTAAAAGGCGCCGTGCGCCATTTCCTTCTCCTGACAATAGAAGCCTGCCTGGTAGACGCTTGTGGCATATCGCAGGGACATATGCTACAGGAATTCAAGCATGTACGAGCAAAAACAAGAAACAATTAAGCCTTTCAGTCTCGTGGTCTGTCATCTACAGCGTGCGTTCACGTGCTGCAGCCACCGGAGACCCTAAAAGAAAAAGACAAGGGTACGGTGCAAAGCAAACCCCACTTAGAGGTTTACATTTTTATTTTTACACATGCTAGTACGCGGCCGACATAACTACTCTGACGGAACGTCAGTCAAACTGTTCAACAGAAACGGAAAGAATCGACAATAGCAACTCCATCAGAGACATTACTCCTCTCAGCCACTTTAGCGATTCCTTCCAATTAAGCTAAGACCACCATTCAGTCCCACTAATGGCTGAAGTGTCTTGACAACGGCTGGATGGACCGCTGTCAAACTTGGTGCAGAATTCTCATAACTAATGACCCCTGACCTTTCATCTACAGTCACATGTGTTAGGTTTTACATTTGAACAGATTTATGCACTGACATTGCTTCTCCGATTTACACTCTGCATTAGGACAGCTTAGGTTTTCAGTACAAAGTACAGCTCTGTGTATTCTAGCCACAAGTCAACATGTGGAAACTAACAACTCAGGATGAAACCTGTATGTTACCTTTTAGCCAAAACCAGGCTAAAAACTATTTAGTAGTTGGGGGACCGAAGAATAGCAATGCTTCTATGCAAACCGAGGCAGGTAGGAAAACTGCAATTTACCGTAACTTGAGCTAAGTGACCGATCAGAGACACAAGCAACGGAAGCAATTAGGGAGATAAATACATTGCAATCGGTAATTAATAGGTGTGAAATGACCTGCAGTACTGAGTTAAATCTGCACATTTAATTAAAAAGATTAGATAAGTACACATTGTCACATTCGCCTCTTTACACTTAAGTCAAATTAAGTTTTTGGATTAAGTTACACTCGCATGCTTGCGGAAGCCAGCATTAAAAATAATCAGTAACTCAACACTGCACCAGAAAGGAACAAAAACAAAAGATTTCCATCGAACCTGGACTCGGACCACCTACCCATGCACACTGGGTCTCGTCCAAATGTGTCAAATATCCTCCCCCTCCCCCGCCCCACCCTCTTGTTTGAGAGACCTTGTGTTAGACACCGAACTCCACATTTCTCACAATGACACTCATTGATGTGATGCATGTTTGTATGTGAGAGTAGGTAAAGAGTGGGAGAAAGAGAAAAGCGCCGCACGAACAGAATAACAAGTGTGAATGAATGAACGAGTGGCGCCATGTGAAGCACCGTTTAGAATCTCGCCAAGGTTAAAAAGGCGACAAGTGCAATTTGGTGGTGTTGTCTCTGCAAAGACAAAAAATGTAAAATATGCTTCAGCCGTTCAGGAATACCTGCAGAAAACAATAAATTAAGGAGCCTTGTAATCATACTGTCTGTCAGCCCGCGCGCCTGCGGAGGGAAAGCTTCTTGGAATGCTCTGAAGAAAACCTGTTCCGGCTCTTTGCAGATGCACATTCAAAATGCATTGTATAAGTGACCCTTCAACTTGTATTTTTTGTTTAAGCGAAACACAGATTGGTGCAGGAGTCGTGTTTGGTAACGTAAAGACGAACTGTCCGATGTGTACTCCACCTGGTTGTTCAAATGTGATTCTTTATCTCTACAGGTGTGTGTCTTTGCACAAGTGTTCATACCCTGTTAATGTAAGAAATTAAAAAAATAATCTTTTCCAAATATTGTGTCCATTTTTATTCAGCCAATCCTTTTCAGAATCATGTTTCACTGTAACTACGGTTGCACGTCTTTGAGGCCAACTCCAGCAGCTTGACCTTGACATTGAACTTTGTGGCCATTCTTCTTTCCAAAAATAACTCAAGTTCAGTCAGATTGGATGGAAAGCATTCATGAGCATAAATCTCCACCAATTCTCAATTAGGTTTTGGTCCAGGCTTTGAATAGGCCATTTTAACACATCCATTTGCTTTGTTCTTAAAGGAGCAGTGTTGTGTAAAATTGACTTTTTTGCGATTTATATCATGTTATAATGTTATTCCCTCATCAAAAACGTACCTGGAGTGTTGCTCTGATTCTTTAATGTATTTTTGAGGAGTCCCTTAATCTCTCTCCAATGCCTCCACCACTCAGCTCCTTCAGACTAGCCAGCAGCAATTAGCAAACACCTGGTGGAACTGCACATCTGCTGAACTCATTATGTGAGCTACTCATCAGTCCTGTGCTACGACGAATGTTTCTAAATGCTTGAAAGAGGAATGTTGATGTGATGACACGATTAAGGCGGAGTTTCAGAAAGACCATGAACTTCTTAAAGAGACAGAGCCCAAATTTCAAGGTGTTAAATTGCAACGACGTCAAATTTATTTTAAGTCAACATGACTTGGTGGTATACTTCTTGTACTAAAGTAAACCACTGTTAGCACACATTGTCACTCATATGTTTGAGTGACAAACACATGATTGTTGCTATAATCATATGTTTTCCCAGAAGAAGGTGACAATCCATTCCACTCTCAAACTTCTGCAGCATTTTCTTTTATAATGCTGTTTGGGCACTAATGTTCTCTAGCAAACCTCTGAGAACAGCTGGATCTACACTGAGATTAAAGTACACAGTGGACCCTAGTTACTAATTAGGTGGCTCCTGAGGGCAGTTGTTTGCACTGGATCTGATTTAGGGGTATGAGAGGAGTACAAATGCACAGCAGAAGTTTCTGATTTTTATATGCAAAATAGCAAAAAAAATAAATAAAATATGACTGAAATAGTTTAAGGGTGATGTATATACAACATGGGGTCCAACATTTAGTCAGACCGACTTCCATTTTGAGAGCTCATCTTTGTGCACATCCTGAGTTCTGCAGCAACAAAGCGTTGTTACAAAACGAAACTACACAAGCGTGATTGTGTGTGTGTGTGTGCAGTTCCTGTACCTGCAATCCAGTTGGGCTCAGCAGACTCCACCACTCCTTATCCAGGCCAAAAACAAAGGCATTGGCCAAACCATGGAGAGGTGCTGACAGGACGTGCAAAAGGGTGAGAGGGAACGAAGGTTCTTCAGGGTAGAAGGCATTATGGAGTCTGGTGGAGGAGGACAGGACAAGACACACAGGGAAGTGCTGAGTTGTAATGTTAAAAAGTTTTAAATAAAAGAAGCAACCTGCAGGAGAGCTAAAGAGGTGAGGACGAAGTAATTAAAGGAGAAGAAAGACAGCTACAGGACGAGGAAGAAAAAAAGAGCAAGAGGCTGATAGAGCAACAGAAAGCGAGGCAGAGGACAAGTGAGTGACAGAGTGAGGGACAGGGTGAGAACGAGAGGTAATGAGAGCAAGTGGCGGAGGCAGAAAAAGAAGGAGCAAGAGAGGGAAAAGGGGAGGGTGAAAGAGCGAGCGAGCTTTATATCAGCGTTTAAGAGCCCATTAGGCAGCGTGAGACGGCTGGGCTGACACATTCTTGGCTGCTGCTCCGACAGCACGCAGCACTTTACAAGGACGGGGAGATGTGTAGCGCTCGACTCGCTTCCTCTCCTTCTCACCACTTTCTCTCAGCTCCGTTTCCACCTCTCCAGACCACAGTTTCAACGATGCATCTCCTCTCATTACCACACGCTAATTTCTTGACCTATCCTCTGCAAACACTCCGTCTCCCCTGCCTGCTCGTGTTTAACCGTCGATATGTGTGTTTTTTTTGTTGTTTTTTTCAAAGACGAGGATCGCGTACGTTTCCCCGCCTGCCCCCCACCACCCAACATTTTAGTTGTGCTTCTGTCCCTGCGAAGACGGGGTACGACAAGATGGGGGGCGGGGGGAGCATTATTGTGAGATGCTGCGGAGAACTAATAGCCGTCTCCGCGAACAATGCTGCTCAGCCATTAACCCTGGATTAACCCTGTATTAGCACTGCTTGCTGGGTTAGCCTGCCACTAATGTCTTTTATTGATCTATTAGCCGGAGAATCAAACCGTGTGCGACTCATGGCATTTCCTGCATGCGGCGTTGTTTGGAGGTTGGGTGTACACCCGGATCTAAGTGGCCACAGCTGTTGACCTCTGGGGTCGGGGAAGTTATCCTCAGACCGCCTGCGTCCCCGCCGGGGAAGGAAGACACCAAACCAAACATTTGACAGAAAAGCAACACTGTTGTATTGTGGTTACAAGGTGTTACGTGAGACTCTGCAGTCACTCATCTCGACTGGCTGACAGCCAGAAAAGAAGATCTGTTTCCTTTTTCTGTGATAATGATTTTTTTTTTTTTATGTGTGTGCGTGTGTGTGTGTGTGTGTGTCTGTGAAATCTTTGGCAATAACACCATTGTTGTGTTTCAACTATCCTCCCCATGAATCATATCATAACCGTGTTGCCAACATTGTGACATCTCTGGAACCAGCACCACATGAGCACGAACAAACAACGAGTCCTCGCAGCTGCAATTACATCAGCAAAGCTACAAAACACAACGTGCGCACACCAAGTTTTGAGCCCACACTCCGTCCAAAACGTTTCCTGCAGCAGTATCATTCATTGCGACACAACTTCAGACTTGGCTGGAAGGAACATTTCCCACCGATGAAATGTCATTTCATTCTGTTCCCTTCTTCCGTTTTATACCAGTGCACGTTTATACCGTTGCTCTCATGATTATTCTTCTTTCTAAACGAGTTCTTTCCAGAACTATGGACAAAAACAAAATTGATCAAATCTCACTAATTATTTAATTTGATAGTATTTTATTTTCTGAAAACTTTTGAGTCACACCCCATCGAATTTGGTTCTGATTTTTGTCTGGGCCAGTTGATTATGATGAAATGTGACAGAATAAAGCCCCAGCTCAAGCCAGAATAACAGAGAAGGACCCACAGCTGATAGATGTGATTTACCGGAGTCATAAAAACACGTCTCCTTACAGTATACTACGAAGATGATACAGCTGCATTACATTAGGAAATCATGCTGCATGTCAAGAAATATCGGATGCAATTAACCCGCATTTTCCACACTCCTCTGTTTTCCATCACCATGATTTCTTCACCACTTTCCAAGCCTTTGCGCCAACCTAATGTTTGTCAGGTTTCGTCACTGGGTGCAGCAAGAGTCCATCCGAACTGACCAGATCTTTATTTGCATACACCGCATTATTGTGTGCCACTTGAAATACTATAGGCTTGGCAGTATAGCATCAAAACTGTCCTTTGCAATTGTAATATTGGACAGAGTGATACAGCGATGAGCATGATGAGGATAGAGGCTTGATGTATTGTAGAGAAATGGAATCGAAAACAGACTCTTTACGTCTGTGGTTGTCAAAGCCGGTGTGAAACTGGGTACAGTTTGAGACTGCAAAATACCCAACAGCAAACGGTTTTTGCATGACTAAATCTACAAAAGTTCGAGACAAAGGGGTGAAATGACCAACACCTCTTCAATATCCATCCTTTCAATTATTCAAAGGGTAAAAACAAGAATAGAAACCCATCATCAGGACTTAAACTCAACCTACAAAAGAAAATCCAAAATATGTTTCTGGAAACAAAAGGGCACTGGACATTTGAACAACGATTACTCCCAATATTAAATTTAAGAAATCTAGCAACTTTAGTCACTTCAATTGTGCTACATCATTGCTAACCTCCTAATACAATAGCCTCATACTATTGCATATCTGACCTTGCATGTCAGTGCTGCAAAAGTAACGTAATTTGTTGTTACTCAAATGTTGCAGCAATGACCATTAATAACATTCCTTAAATTTTTACCTACTTAAATCTTTATCGTAGACTGTGACTATAAAATAACAGTCTATACTGACAAAGGGTCACTCACCTTGACATTTGCCAAAATTAGCTCTGATGAACTTCAGGTCATTTATGCCTGAAAACAATGTCAAAATCTTTTACCTAAATTAAGGTAAAACTCCTGGTGCTGCCCATCACTTCATATGACATCGTTTTTTTTTTGTGTGTTTTTTTTCCCCAAAACTAAGAAACAGTTTGTTGTTATACTGCCATATTCTGAGCTACAATAATTAGCGCTGCATGAGTAATGGACAAAATAAACACATTATTAAATGTGTGAATGGCTTACACTTATTCTTTTTTTTTCTGTGTGGGAGTGTACAGTGTGTGCATTGTGCATGTGTGGAACTGTGCGCATGTGTGTTTCTGAGGGGTTCAAACCTCAACGGCTTATTCAAATAATTAACCAAATTAAAATATTTCACTTAATATCTGAAATCCCGAGTCAAGTCTATCCTGAGAGACTTGAAGCAATAAAAACTAGTCTAATGTTAACGCCATCATTCTCTCGAGATGCAATATTGGCAACATCGCAGTGCAATTCAGCAAATAGATCAACCTTTACTTTCACCAATGGCGCAGATAAGACAAAATATGGAAGGATGAGATATTAAACCTCACTGTTAATTGTGAAAATAATTTTTAAAAATTGTAGAGAATGCAATTATTCCACACAAAAGTTGAAATAAGCAAATTGCAAATCTGCCAATATTTATAATATTCACAATAATATGCGTACAAAACATGGCAAGTTACTGAAGAGGGCATTTCTGAGTTTTCCTCTGAAAAGAGCTTCTCTTGTCACATCAAGGGAGCCTCCGCAGAGCTTTTATCAGTGTGTAATATTCTGTACTTATAGGTGGCAGAAGCTCTCGCCTGTCAGGACATTTAGTCAGAAGCGTTTTTAACATGAAAAGGAATGAGTGCACAGGACAAAAGCACAGCCGTGTAAACGTTTTTTCCACAAACGTCATGAAACCGCGCCTAGTTTTTACGTTTTAATTTGCAGTTCATTTGTTTGTGAGTCTCAAAGTTCACAGAACGACAAAAACTTCAAATTATTATGATTAGGCAACACATGGATGCGACATATGGCAGTTTACAAAGTGTAAACACCCCTGATAAAATGAGATAAAAATAAATATTTTTGAAAGCTTACCTAAAATATGCAGTGACATTTACTGCACATTTTAGATGAAAAACACATCTGTTTTGGGCCAGAAAGAAGGTTTAACAACCTGGTTGCTAAACTACCATGCGACTAAAGAATCTCCTATTCAGCTATCCAAGTACAACTTTCCATACACTACAAAACTTCAGCTAAAGTCACAGGATCCAAAGGAATAAAGCAATCTCATAGTTTAAAAGAATGAGTCAGGGCAAGGGTAGAAAAAAAAATCCACATGAAGAGATGAAGACATCTCCTGTTAGAGTATTCTACCAGGAAAAGAATGTCAAAATCTTGAATGTGTTGGACTTTTGGTCCACAACTCCAAAAACAACATTTGGCACAAATTGGCACAAATTAAAAACAACCACACATTCAGAGAAACATGTTAGTGGCAGCGTCATAGTCTGGGGTTCCTTTTATTCAGCTGCAACTGGTGTTTTTCCTCAAAAGTGAATGAAATTGTGAACATTTCCAGTTTTGGGAAGAAAGGAATTCATATTTCAGTAGAGAAAGCACTCCAAGCACATCCAGATGAACAAAAAATGGCTTCCCTGGAAGAACATCGAAGTTATAAAAGTTATATAAATAATCTACCACAGTCCAGAACTAAATCTGCAAGTTCTTCTGAAGTGTGTTACAGACAGCAATCCTCATAACTGCATTTATTTTGAGAGTGAGGTGGATAAATATTTCCAACACAAGATCAAACCTAAATGTTGCCAACAAGCTTCGACTTGTTGGTAATGTTGTCATACCATGTTTTTCCATTATTTAAAGCATGTTAGCCAAACCAACAGAGACGCATTATACCAAAAGGTTTCATTGAAATGTTAAGTGAAGTAATGCACTTGAGTTAGCTCAAGCCCAAGGTCTTCTCTGCAAAACACAAGCACTATTTATTGAGGATTTTGGGCTCTGCAACTTTGCCGACAACATCTATAGAGCAATCTGATGAAGTGCGGGGAGTCTAAAAAGCTTAGTATATTCTTTTCAAATCAAAAATAAGAGACACTCCAACTGTAAAACTAAGCTTAGCAAGAAGAAGCTTTTCTTCTTCTTCTTCTTCTCCCTCCTCTTTCCCTTAAAACCTTTCGACAACTGCGGGAGAACAGAACAGCAG